CCAAAGCTGCATTTTCTATCAAAGAAAAAGAAAAAAGAAAGCTCAGCTCCTGGCTTGGAGGAAACTATCTGGCAAATATGTGCAAGATGTCGGGTGAGGAGGAATGGTGGGGTGGACAGAAGTAAAAATAGGAATGAAAAGAGAGCATCTCCCATCGACCATGTGTCCCTGCTACCCTGTGTCCCTTAATCTTCAGCGAAAGGACCATTAGCGAATACTGTGTGTGTAGGGGAGGGGGATTGGAATGTTAATCTGTTGCACTGTTATTTGTCAACCCTTAATTGTAGATTATTACATTTTGAGAATAACACAAGCCTGAGCTGTCCAATACAGTAGCTCATGTCCACATGTAGCTATTTAAATTAAACTTAACTAAAACACAATAGAATTAAAATAAAAAACCCAGTCCCTCAATCCCAGTGGCCATATTCCAAGTGCTCAACAGCTACATGTAGTTAGTGGCTACCCTACGGAAGGGGCAGATACAGACCTAAGGACCATGCATATCTAGGAGAGGAGACTGTACTTTTAATGCAGCCCTTTAACCTTTCACTTACTTTACCATCAAGGATATTGAGAAAATATCAAAGTGACAACGTGCTATATGCAGGAAATGCCCGTCATGGAGGAAAATAAGGGAAAGCACCTGACTTGACCTAATTAAAAGCATCCAGCAGTGAACTTTTTATTGACATGAGCGACGACTCAAAGTTGGAACCTAAGTGCACCTAAGACAGGAGAACATGAGGTTGAAAGGACAGGCTCCTTTGGTGAGGATCCCTGGCTTTCAGCCTTAGGAGACTAGATTTTACGCTGAAGATAGTGGGGAACCACTGCAAAATTATAGGTAAAGAATGACACAATGAAAAGGTAGCAGCATTTATTTACAAAATGGATCCAACGTAAGGTTTAGAAGCAGAGAAACTTGTTAAAATTTCTGCAACAGTTAAAACTGCTGCAACAGTGTGGAAAGCATGACGGGACCACTGCCTGAAAGGGAGCTGGGGGCAGAGATGCAAAGAACTTTCTAAAAAATGACCGGCTGGGCGCGATGGCTCACGCCCGTAGTCCCAGCACTTTTGAAGGACGAGGCTGGTGGATCCCTTGAGCCCAGGAGTTCGAGACCAGCCAGGGCAACATGGTGAAACCGTCTCTACTTTAAAAAAAAAAAAAAAAAACCAAAACCCTCATAGGATTTGACTTCAAGATTCAAAAAACTCATAGGAAATGACTTCAAGATTACTGCCTGGAAGCTTTGAAAAACACCCACCTGGAGAGATACAGAATGTAAGAAGCATGCACGTTGAGCGGGGAGCTAATGAACTTACTTCCAGGCGCTAGTGAGGCGACGCTGATGTTTGGGTGGCCCAAACTTCCCGCTTTCTTCCCTCCCCGAGTCCCGCAGAGTTCATGCATTGAGTCTTTCTCCAGCCCCCGGCCCCTCACAGGCACCTCGACCTCCCCTCGCCCGTCCCCAGCCTCACCGGCTCTGGCCTACTTTTCCTTCTCTTCGGTGCACGGCGAAAGCCGCTACGGCGAAGGCGTGAATCAAGAGAATGGCGGGCCCAGCTCCCAGAATTCCACTCGTTCCCAAAATGCTGCGCGCAGGGCCCGCCTCCTTCCTTTCCCCAGTGGTGAGAGCGGTGTCGCCTCCGCTTCCTCCTCACTCCGCCTGCCGGCTGGGAAACTAAGGCACCAGTACGATAGTTCCGGCACCGGAAAAGAGGGCCGATGACTAGGTCCGGGGACCGCCGCAAACAACGACCCTTGGGGCCGGCAAAGAGCCGGAAAGGGTGCTTGCACTTCCAAGCACCCCACACCAAGGACAGGCTGGACGGCAAGGCGGAGACTCGGGGCCTGGGCCCTCAGACCGGGGGCAGCAGGAGGTTGGGCCAAGGGCCAGGACTTCCCCTCACAATTTAATTTTTTGATCCCAGCACCGCCAGGTAAGGGGCGCCCTGAGTGAGGCTAGGTATCTCGTACGGATAAAGTTAGGTATAGAGTAGAGAGGAGGCCGGCTCAGGGTCATCCCTAAAGGCAGTTTAAGGAGAGTTGTTTGGAGCCTCCGGAGTACACTGGGCGGGACCAGGGTTTACAGCTAAGAATGGCAAAGGAGCGGGCCCCGGCTGAGGCGGGGCTTGCTGAAGGGAGGAGCCTCTGTTCACGAAATGCACGGGCTTTGGGGCGGGGCTCAAGGAAAGGGGCGGAGC